ATAAATTATAAATTATTAATATTTAAAAAATAAAATAAAAATAGATAATCATATCTTATAATAAAAGGTATTTTTATCTTTTTATCATTTATTCATTTATTATTTTAAAATTATTTTTACCAACTAAACAGTTTAATAAATTATAATAATAATTCTTATCTTATTCTATTATATCAATCAAATTACATAAAAATATTTTAATGTTATTCCTATCTTCTTTTATTCTCACAAAATACTTATTCTATTCTATTCTATTTTATTCTGCGAACAAAACGATATTCTAAAGGAAAAACTTAGTGAATAATGAAGCTTGATTGTATTTTAGTTAATCTTTCACTTAAATTTTTTTTTAATTTTTTTATTAAGGTTTTTGTTGATATTGACAAGCTCTATCTAATTTATTTCAAAAGAATTGATAGACTAGAAGTAATGTATTGACAGTCACGTTGCAATGAAGAAAGATGAGTATATTAGTTATTGTGAGGAAAGGCCGAATGTATTACTGTTGAGTCTGAAAAGTAGAAATAAAATAAAATATTTAGGCAGGGCTTGTTACTAGAGATTTGTATTTACATTATTTATAATGTATTTAAATAAATTAAATTACAGTATTTATTTTAAAACAAGTTAACGTAATGTTAGATTGCAATAAAAGATTTTTTTGCACTCATAATTTTCTAAAATTATAAAAATTATTTCTTTTCTATAATCTTTAATAAACTTTTAAAAATAAAATATATTTCTTTTTTTCTTTCAAACTTTTGTTTCAAAAAATCTCTTGTGGTGTTTTATGATGGGCGAGTTGTGCACTTGGGATTCCTAATTGTCCAACAGATTGCTTGAGCATTTGATGTACTTTGTTGACTTTTCAATTAATAATTGAAATTCAACCAATATTGATGTATTATAAAATAATTCCTATGAAGTTAGATAGTCAACTATTTATAGTTGTTTTTTGTTTTGTTATATATAAATTAATTTTTTATTATAATAAATAAAAATAAAATATATAAGCATATTAAATTTATATTTTGATACATAAGAATAACTTTGAATATTAACATTATATTTTTAGTAAAATATTTGTAAACCAAGTACTGTAATTAATTTTTTTTTAATATTTTAATTAATTTTTTTAATATATTAAATATTGTAATATTATTTTCTTAATAAGCACATTCTTACAATTACATATCTTATTATGTGAATACATTATAAGACACCAAACAAGACCTTAGTATCAAGAAGAGATAATAGTATTGGAGAGAGAGGGCAATACCTTGGAGTGGCACTAATATTGGAAAAGAAAGCAGAAGAGACAACACTTATTACATATGCGATTGGTGAGGGCAATGGATGGTAATTTTATAAGCAATTAGACAAGTAAACTGTTGAACATTTTAATATTTTCTATTTTATAATAAAAAGAAGTGATTATATTAAGTGTAATTGACGTGGCTAATAAGGACTGATGACAAGCCCATCCTATGGTAAATCGGTAATTCAATATTGTCAAAGGGAGTCGAGGCACCAACGTGTTCCGACATTTGAAGGAAAGTTCAAATTAGAGCGAGTAGTCAACCCCATACCGAGGCAAAATTCTTTGCGACATATCTTTATTTCATACAGCCCCATAATTATGTCACATTACGGGGTTTAATGTCGGATGTTATCACACCTTTTTGTAACAAACAAGAAGACATTGTACGTGAGCAGGAGTAAATATGAGCTGACCACGCCAATTTAAGGGCAAAGCCGCAGGGCAAGGAATGCATAATAGTCTTCACATTAAGTATTAATCAGTCAAACTATCATAAAGCAACTCGGCTTCGCTTGTTGGATATCGAATTTGTTCACACATATTGCTAGAAAAAACAACAGAGAATTATTATATTATAAAATTGAATATATTACATAAATAAATAATATATATTTATATATAGTTTAATTTTAATTAGCAAACAATATTGTAATGTAACTATTAACTAAATATTGTAGTCTAACTTAGCAATAGCAATATGTTATAACTCTAATTAAATAATTTATATAATTATCTTAATAAATATAAAAAAATCATTTCTAATTTTGTTCAAACTCAATTAATTTACTTATTAAATTTTATAAATTAATCTAAACGGACTTTTAATCGAATTTGTTTATACTGTATAAACCGCTTTATATAAAATTTTGAGTGTCTTGTGAAGTTAATATAAATAAATTATATATATATATCGAATTTTTACATATTCATATTGGATATTGGTTTTTATTATGCGATTGGAAGGAATCATTATAAATTTTTTTAGGATTCCAACAACGATCACACACCTTTATTCTGCATCCAACTTTATTCAATTTTAAGAAATGACAGATTTGGATGAACAATAAATCAATTGTCATGCAAAGAGGAATGAAAAGGAAAAGATAAAAAAAAAAATTGAAAGAAAGTAAAATCGAAAGTCCACGTGATGAAATGGACAACACATGAGGAACGGCCCACATCCGTCTCATCCATTCACATATCCTCTCGGCCTCATCTTCAATTAATTTCCATCGATTCTTGTTTGAAATTTGGAGCTTATTTCTTGCATACAGAGGATTAAACACGAAAACTATCCAGTAATTAAAGAGATTTAGATGGATCATAATTGAATCAAAGGAATGATCCATCTGATGGGTCATGAAGGAATAGGGTGAATTTAATTCAAAATAATTTATCCCATACAGTTCAACGTATAAAAATTATATCAACCTTCATACATAGTGAAATTTCGATGTAAAATTTAAAAATTTCGAATAGATTTTTTTTATCATTAAAATAAATAAATATTAACATATTAAAATGGTAAATATTGTCATTTTTAATAGAATTTTAATAAAAACAAAAACTTTTGTTGTCCTTAGTGAATTAAATTACAAATATGTTATTGCCTGCTAAATTAATTAAACATTAGCCTAGAACTAGAATTGTTAAAATGTTCTTTGAGTTCCCTTGAAACTTAGTTCAAGTAGTAATGATGACGTGGAATTCGGATAGAATGTTAGATCGCATCACGTGCTACTGAAAAAAAAAATGAAAAGTAGAAAAACAGTTCCTCGATTAGTTATATTCCATGCATCTCTTCTACATGGGTATTTCAATATATATATGTTTTATGTCAAACATTTACCTTTTTGTGTCATTTATATTTAGTTTTTAAAATGTTATTTACTCTTCTTTTATATTAAAAATTACTTATCAAACGTTAGCTATATAAAAGTTAACATTTTAAGTCAAGTACAAATATTCAATTTAAATAAAATTAAAACAAAATATTGTTATGTAATTTAAGTTAATTTTTTTATTAAAAATCTATCAAATTAAAATGAATCTATCATTTAATGTATTTTTTTATTTCAAATTATATACATGTTTTATTATTTTAAAATATTTCAAAATAACCAATATTACTCTTTGTTGAAGTATAAACAATAATTATAACACAAATACAAAATATCTCATTTTGAAAATTTTGAGGAAGTAAATATTAGAAAAATTAATTTTATTTTCGACATTCATTATCACTAAACTCCATACGTGGCGGATGGTGTATTTCTTCCTGAAAACATCCTCCTTCCATCATTAGCCAATCAAAAACATTTCTTCATTTTCCTACGTGGCATTTCATCTGCGCCCTTTCAGATCACGCACTCTACGGGCGTCAAGTTATAGATTTTGATTTCCGACCGCACCAATCTGATCTGGCCCCACTGAAAAACCCAACCCTCTTGATCACGCGCCACGTGGATATTAATCCTACCTTACTGTAACAAAATAATTGCATGGCGTTACAGCAGAATCTTTTCCCCTCTGAACTCTTTGTCCTGTCACTGTCCATTTCTTCCCTTTCTCTTTCTATCTGAATTTTCTCGTTCATTTCCCAAACAAACTCAAGCAGCCTCTGCTTTTCTCAGGAATCAGCCCTTTTTTTTGCCTTCGCTTACTGCTTTTGATTTCATCTCATTTCTGGGTTTGTTCTTTCTTTTCTTGAACTTTCCTACTTTCTTTCCTTTGCTGCTCAATTCTTTTTGCTTGTTATCTATTGCTCAAACTGCCAAAAAAAAAAAAA